ACTTTTTATTATAATCACACTTTTTATTTTTGGTCCCAAAGGGTGTGACTATAAAGGGGGACGACTGTATATGTAATTGCATAGTTGTACACTTAATTAGAATATCTAAATATTTCTTACTGCATAAATATTACTAAAATATAAATTTGTAATGTTATTCATTCTTGCCTAAGGCTCTAGCATCTTAACCTTTGGTTTTGTAAAATTACCGATAAAATTATCAAAAAAATTGCTAGCAAATGTCTTAATTTAAAATATCTTGATCTAAAGGATGTGATAATATTAGCAAAGAAGCTATAGATCAACTCATTTCATTTAATCCAAATATTCACATCAAGAATTTTGCACTGATTCAGATACCTCTCCAAAATAATGAAGTCTTAAACATGATTTATGTATTTGCAAGGTATTTGAGAATGTAATCCCAAACTATGTATTTATTTTTCTCTCGTAATAATAAAAATTTTTTTCTGATTGAATACTAACATATAGAGCGTAAGAATATTATCAATACAATATATGCTATGCAATCTGAAATAGATTTATTAAGATAATTGATTATTGAACTTGAAGCTGAAAATGCTAAGTTTCTGAACTTAGAAAGAAACTTGCTGAAGTTGAGGCCAAAAATGCAGAACTTATAAAGCAAATTATGAAAGAGAATAACACATATGATGCTAAAATTGAGGATAACACCGAGCTTAAAGCTAGAATTTTAAAACTAGAGCAGGATCAGGCAGAAAGAGAAGCTAAGAAAAATCACAAATTTCAAATGCAGATAGCTAAGAAAAATTTTCGATAATTGAGTATTGCTCCTCTTTCTTAAATGGTTGATGCTTTCTTCCTAAAATATCAAATTGCATTGAAAGTGCAAGAGTTTCATAGCATCAGCTGGTATAAAGATGTCAAAAAACTTAAGAACATTGTTAATCATGATTATACATGAAGTCGAAATAGATCATTTCAGATATCTGAAATAGTCAAAATGGTCAAAATCATTTTAACCATTGGAGGCTAAAGTTGCAAAATAGTCAAAATAACATCATATCACATGATTTTTCATATTTAGAAAAAACAAAAAACAAAAAATATACAATCTCAGTCAATATCGCACTGATTCGTATAAAACAACTACTATTCGATTCCTCCTTTTTCTCGTTAAATTTTTTCCAAGAATTTTTACTTAAAAAAAGTGACCATTCAATGGCGGCCACAGCTTAGCCTACGAACAAACAAAAAAATTCCACCTTTCAAAAATATTCATCTTTTTATTTCCCACACCCCTATTCACATAAAATTTTTCGAAATAGTCTAAACACTGTTATTTTTTGTTAAAATATTTTTCTTCACCTCTTTTTGAAAATTTTTTTTCCATATTTCTCTTTTTCTTTTTTGCTTACTAAAAAGTGGGCATTAAGGGGTATTCCAACCAACAATCATGATCGACATACTTTAGATAAACAAATCTCACGTGATGACACCTTTCCCCTTTCTAAATAATATACTATCTTTTGATTGGTCTTTGCCTTTCTGCAGATCCTCTGTCGTCAAAGATTACATGCAAATTTAGCGTGAATTATTACTTTATTTCTCCATGAGGTCTTCTATATAATATGATAGTAGTTACCACTTGGTTTGTATCTTGTCAGGCTACTGTAGTTTTAAATAGAACTCCAGATGGTCATTGCCATTTGCTTACTCAGTGTAAATCTGCTTTGTCTAGATCCGTTCCTTTCTGGTAACCAGGTAGAAGGTATAGGTTACTATCTGTTGATTATCGTAGGATTCTTGTAGTGGATTCTATGTGATATTTTTTCTGTACTTATAAATCTATAAGTATGAAGAGCCTTTGTTTAAACCTTTTTTTGGACGTATCTTCTTTGGTCGGGTGGTCGTTATATCTGAAATTAACTGAATATTTAGGTTTTATAGAGTTGTATTTGTCTTTTTTAATAATTTCTATTTATACCTATTTCCCTTCTTAGGAGGATTGTTAGTTTTTAAATTTTATTTACAAGTTGGGATCGAAGGGCATTTAGAAATTATATTGCTGTATTGACAACCTCATTTGAATTTCTTGTTGACGGCTTAATCATTAGATATGGATTTTTTGGTTGGGTCAAAAAGGAATTTCAGTGATCAGCTAATCTAAACGAGTTTAAGCTTTTATTAGCAATAAGACTACGTGAGATAGTTATTATTTTAGTTTTTTATCTACTTTGTATTTTTTCTTTGTAAATTTTATTTAGTATATAATATAAAATTAATAAACTTAATAGCAGTACTGCATCGTTAAAAAATAAAAAAAACCCCATTCGATTCCTCATGACTAGACGAATCCAATGAGCTAATATTCATTGATTTCAGATCATCCAGTCACAAGATAATCACAATTGTATTATTGGTCAAAATTATGAATCAATAAATTCTACTTTAAATAAAGAAGTTCTAATTTCGAAATATGATTGCAAATATCTCAAGATAGGTTGGATAGGTTGATCCATAATCAATGAATATTAGCTCATTGGATTCGTCTAGTCATGGGAATCGAATGGTAGTTGTTTCATACAAATCAGTGTGATATTGACTGAGATCATACATCTTTTGTTTTTTTTTATTTTTTCTATATATAAAAAATCATGTGATATGATGTAATTTTGACCATTTCGACTTTTCATTTCGACTTTGACTTCTAAAGTTGAAACATTTCGACTTTTGGGTTTTCATTTCGATTTCATGTATAATCATGATTATCAAAAAAGGTGTATTTGGTATATTTGTCTAGATAATGGAATTTTTCTTATTGAGGTATGGTATGTCCAAACCCCAGAAATTGTTATTCCAGAAAGAATACGAAAATTAAGGAGTTTGTTTGTCTAGCATCTAAAAGTTTTGATATTCTATAATCAATAGCAGATAAATACAGTATATTATGTATCACAGTTAAGGTTTTGATTCTTAGACAAGCAAAATTCTGAAGCTAATCTCTAAGTGATACAAAATGAATTAAAAAATATATATTCTTATTGATTATATTCTATTAGCATAAGCATAGAAACTTTATCATATACAGCGAATTCATTTGTTTGCTTTAACAAACCTTTTGTACTTGTATTTATTTTTTTATCACTCACATATGTTAATAAAGTATCATGAAGATTCTTCATAATTATCACTTGATATGTAAACTACGAAATTCTGAGACTGTGACATGAGATCTTAAAGTTTAGCATTTTCTTAATATGAAGTATTGTAAGGCATGATTTTTGTAATCTGATGTGATAGATATCATTTGTGTAACTGATCAAACTAATAAGTCAGATTAATCTATGAAAATCGATTTCTCATATATCAGATATATCCAAATTTTTTTTCTCAATTCATCTATTTGTGCTATTCTTTTCATACTTTTTTAATCGTAAAAGCTATGTCGTTTAACGTTGCAAGTTTTTTAATCAGTGTTACATCTAATCTTTCGAAAGTTAAACAAGTGAAGGTATAGAGTCAAAAGAGAGTTAAATTATTTTTGTAAGAGAATAGAGCTAGATTAGACCTTAAAGATGAAAATATCAGTAAAATATATATTCAGAAGGTTAAGAGTAGTACTTTCCTGGATTTTACTGTAGTGGATTTTGAGAAATGGAGGATACTAGGTAGTCTAGCTAAAGAAATTGAAAAGTTGATTAATGAAATTAAAGGAGGTAAGCGAGTTTATTTTTTCCACGCTTTTATATTTGCCAATAATACTGAATACAGTCAGACCTCTATATACTAATACAGTCGACCCCCTCTATAGTCACCTCCTATATAATCACTCCCCTTCTTTAGTCACATTATAGTTCAGTTCTGATTTTTAAATAAGAAAATATCCCTTTTATAATCACATAATATATATAAATATAATCACATTAATTTTTAGTCCTATCTTATAATAGATGTAAGAAAATCGCCTCCTATATAATCACATCAAATTATATCCCTTTATAT